AAAATGGCGCAAACATAAAATACTGTATGTCTTAACGAGTGACGTCCTCTGTTATCTACTCAAATTAATAATAAATTGTATCGTAAGATGGCGCCAGCAAGTTGGGTAGAAAATATTTCGCTTTCTGCACATCTTGGTTTTTAGCGATGGACTGACAACGTACGTGCATTGTTGCTAGCTCTGGCAATTAATCGCCAGAATTGATAATATTTTGAACAAGTTGGCGATTTGAAAACGATGTTATCATTCTGGCGATTTTTCTATATTACAGTAAACTATCGCTAACTTGGACTAATGTGGGTGAAGGTAAATATAGAGTATAGTAATTTATTACGATCAGCTCTATACAGAATTTTTACTGAGGTTTTACTGTCGAAATTTATTATTACAGGAAATGAACTAAAAAAATTTTATGGAAGTTTAATGTAAAGTGTTTAGTTTTACTAACTTATTGACTATATATAATGCGCGATGTAGCAAAGACTTCCGGATATCAAATACACTCGTTAATTATAATTTTTCTATTGTCAAGAAATTTAAAATTACTGTACAATTTTTCGAAAAAATTTGTCCGTGTTAACGGGATTTACTGTATTATAAATCTATTTAAGGTTTGTTAAAATTTTTTTCTAAAAACAGGGATGGAGTCAGACAATTAAAACTGCCTTGAGCCAAGAGTCCATAAATCGATTTGCAAACTTTCACCTCTTTAAATTTGAATCTGAATGATTAGTCACTACTCCGTACAAAATTTCAGAAGTTATTCGACTTCAAAGAAGGTGAGCGAAATCGAGTCACACATATTAACACACTAAAATCCATACATACAGAAATAAACCAGCAACAAGTTGCTCAACTTTCTCGGCAACATTTAAAATTTTGGTAGCTCCATCTGTTATATTTTATTAAAAAACTTTTTATATTCTTAACTGTTATAAAATGGCAAAAACTTAATTTTGAAGGTTGAAATTAATTATACAGGGTGTTCCAGAAGTCTTTCCCTGATTACAAGCGTGCAAAAGCAGAAAATATGACACATAAACACATATCTTTTATCTTGAATTGCAGGTAACATATTCAAGTTTTTGTGTGTACATACATACTTATTAATCAATAAATTTCGACGTGTGCTCCTTTCGTTGCTCGAAGGATATCCAGGCGATATTCCAATTCCATCCATATATTGGTCAACATATCGTGAGGGATGGATGTTATGACGTCAGTAATTCTGCGATGTCATTCACTGGTGTTTGGTAAACCTGGTTCTTGACATAACCCCAAAGGAAGACATCCAGTAGTGTTATGTCCGGTGATCGCGGAGGTCTGTTGATGGGACAACCACGCACGATCCATCTTCCCGGAAATGCTGTGTCCAAATAGCCACGAACATCTAACACCCAATGAGGTGGCGCACCATCTTGTTGGAAAATTAAGTCCGGAATGTCCTGAATCTGTGGCACAACAAATAACTGCAACACATCAAGATAGGTATTGGCTGTGATTGTTCTGTAACAAAAAACGTAACAGTGAGTATGTATGTACACACAGAAACTTGAATATGTTACTTGCAATTCAAGATAAAAGATATGTGTCTACGTGTCATATTTTCTGCCTTCTGCATGTTTGTAGTCAGGGAAAGACTTTTGGGACACCCTGTATAAGAAGATTGTAAATGCTAATAAACAATAAAATCGTCATACGCATGACCCCCATTATCTTCCTACCTCCTGACTTTTAATCACCAAAATTTAATAGCTTCAATCCCCTAATATTAAATTCCCTGCAAAATTCTAGATATTTTCGACAAAAAGTACAGGAATTATTAAGCTTCAAACAAGGTGAACAAAAATGTGCCCCCCCACACATAAACACTCACTAACATCCATACTTACAGAAATTACCCCAGAATATTTTTGCATTTCTAGACGTTTTAAGTTATCCTAACTCCAAAAATGTGAAATCTGCAGGTTATTTTTTTTCCGGATCGCCATAGGTTCCCTCTGTTATAACAGCCTAGAAAGTAAAAAAGAAAAAAACCCCAATCTTTTTGCGTTTCTCGACGTTTGTCCCAAGTCAAAAATGTAAAATTCTGGAGGAGGATCATTTATTGACTGATCGCCATACTGTCTCTCTGTAATATGTAACAGCCGAGAAAGAAATAATGGCGAAGACTATTCGTAATGCTTACATTATGTTTAATATGCGATTTTAAGTTTTTATGATTTTTAGAATCAATTTAGACACAATATCTTTTTAAAGAGAAATTTAGAAAATGTTTTGTGATTTTATTAGAAATGATTTCAAATAAGCATTTTTTCCTGTTTTATCATAATCTGCTATATAAAACTAAAAAAACTGGACAGTCTCTGTCACGATATGCCAAAAACAGCCACTAGGGGCGCCCTAGCTATTATTTAAATTAACAATATAAATTATTATATATATATTTTATATTGTTACAGTATAATTCAGTATATTATTATTTTTATTTGTAATAGGAATTCATTATTATTATTTTCATCTATCTACTATATAAAACTGAAAAAATTGGCCAGTCTCAGCGAATCGAACTCCAGCAAAACATAGCGGCAAACCTATGAATTTTGCCAGAGTCCGTGTTCGACTCTTTTTGGTGGTATTCGGCACGCATGCTGCTTGCTGTATTATTTAAAAAGAATTGGATATAGTGATGTAGGTCATAGTTCATGACAATGATAGTTATGCTTTTTAGTTTCATTATTATGTTTTGAACTAGAGACGTGATATTATGGTATTTCTTTGCAATCATAACGGAAATATGTAGTATCTTATTGGTATTTTGAAATTTATTTTATGAGAATTGGATGTAGGGATGTTGGTTATAATACATGACAATGATAGTTATGGGCAGTTCACTTTCAACAGTGTTTTGCCGAACGTCTCTGCACTTTAGGTAAACCATTTGTAATTAATTATTTATCATTGTTATGTATGCTAACTATTTAGTATGCCCGATCCCATCGGGCCTTTCAACTGATATCTTAATAAAAACGAAAACAAAAACTTACAGATTTATTCTGATAAGCATTTAAAGTGTGTTTTATAAAATTAAGTAATTTGGTAACAGATAATTTTGACAAAATTATGAAATAATAATAAATTGGTTTGTAAAGTTAGCTTTGTTTCCTAAATTTGTTTTAAAATATTCATTGCCTACTAGGGCCTTTTTAAAATAAAGACTTATTATACTTGTAGTATGGAAGGAAGGAAAAAAAAAACATTTAGATTGTTTCCGATTATCTCTTTATTAATTCCAGATATATTTCAAACATATTTCGTTCCTCTTCAATGGGTACAAAGGTAAATTTTTGGCACAATATTTACAGGAAACAACATAGAAGTTTTTTTATTTATCTTTCTTCCATATTACAAGTGTTATAAGACCTAATTTAAAAAAGGCTCAAGTAGGCAAAGAATAATTTAAAATAAATTAGTTAATTAAGATGCTCAAAGTTAGTATTTGACAATCTACTAAGTACTTTTCATTTAATATGAAAAGATTTATATTGCATGGATTAAATTATTACAAAACTATTTTTATCATAAAAACATTTAAAGTACAACAAACTAAACAAAAGCATTTACCCCTAACTGTAAATTTTAAGCAATCAATCTTTAGACAATCTAGGATTAACCCCTAAATCCAGGGGTTAGCTGCATTTAATAGAATTTATCAAAAATTTTAACAAAAAACAGAGTTACAAATGAAAAAAAATCCAGCAGCAAATTGCGTAACTTCACCGGCTATTATGAGATTTTATTTAAAAATATAACTTGTATATTATTCATTATAATAAATGAAATTGTGTGTGGCGCCATCTCTTATGAGATTTTGTTATAAAAGACTTTTTACATTATTAATTATTATAAAGTAGCAAAAAGCTTAATTTTGAGGACAGTAATGAGTTTCATTAAAATTGTAAATGATAATAGCGAGTAATATGTGAATTAAATTCAACCCCATTCTAGATATGACATGCCAACCCTTCCTCTCTACCTACCCCTGGAACTTTAACCACTAAAGTTTAATAGCATCAATATATTATATACACAGGTTACTATGCTAAATTTCGTTCCTCAATCTTTATCCCATCTTGAGATATTAAAGGAAATAGACGCCGAGAAACGAATGCTATTTGCAGATCCAGAGACTACCTTCTGATATCAACAAAATGTTACTTCTCTTCTTTACAGTACAGTTATGACTGCTGTTATTCTCGCGTGATAAACATCAGAATAAATATATTTTAATGAATATGTAATTTAAAAAATATATAAAATAAATTAAAATTACAAAATTTATAAAGTGCTCAAATATTAATTGGGTACACGAAACAACGAAAAAAACGTTAATCGGTAATTATTACCCTTTAGAAGGCAAAAACTGAACTACTCAAGAATACGATTTTTATTGGATTGAAAAGGCAATGCATATAAGAACGCGACTTTGCCAATTTCAGCAGAGAATTGTCATAGCGACTATAATAATCTATTTGATTAGCTATCGGGTATCACGTGATTTAGATGACAATATTGTTGATTATTCAAATTTTTTTATTCGCATTCTTGTTAATCTGGAAAAATTGAGTTGAAAGTCCATGAAAGTTGACACGTTTTGAATACACGATTTTTGTAAAAATAATTTAATACTGTACTTATTCTTTATAACACAAAACTTTTTAATTCATCTTTACGTAGAAGCCCACCAGTGATGGAATGGATATAACTACCGAGCACTAGTAGTCGGTGTGGGTTCCCAAAGATAAATCATCTGCAGGTTATTTTTTTCCGGATCGCCATAGCTTCCCTCTGTTATAACAGCCTAGAAAGTAAAAAAACCCCAATGTTTTTGCGTTTCTCGACGTTTGTCCCAAGTCAAAAATGTAAAATTCTGGAGGAGGATCATTTATTGACTGATCGCCATACTGNAGTTTTCTTCACGTTAGTAATAACTAAACTTGGTGAGGTTTCACATTAAAGACTTCCCGGGAGGCACCCCCTTGGCAGATCGCCCATATGTCGCGTTTCTATAAAAGAAAAGACCAAATATTTTTGTATAGTCAAACCACGTTTCAGAGAAATTTTATATTTTAAACATATCTACCAAATACACTTCTTATGTTCTTCCTTTAAAGGTTTCTATTGCAGAATTCACTTTCAGCAGTTTATAGAATATGTAATAAAGCTTCCAAGAAAACACACTGAAATATATTCAAAACAATGTAAATGCCATTGATATATCTTGAATATTTGAAAAATTGGGAAATATGTCGATTCCAATTGTTTCAAAATATTGATAATAAATACAAACCATTTAACTAAAGGTAAATAAGGAAACCATTCCGGAACAATTATAAGGGATTTCTTTTGCAATACACCATTCGCAATCTTCTCAGCAGCAATATCACTCCGAATTGCAGGAATTATACTAAACACGAAAAATAAATAACAGTAAGTACAATTATTAATAACTGCCAAACTTCTCTGTTCTTTATGGCTTTTGCAACAACTTACGGCTTAACACCTTCAAACATCGGAGTAGTCAGCATATACGTTAAAACGAGACTAGTGTGAATGTACGAACGGCCTTCCATGTTCAGCTCTAATGTTAATGCTTCGAATAAAGTGGTAGCAGCGGCCTTACTAGCGCAATAATCGCTCAATTTCTCAACTATTCCGTATGCTGCTAAACTCGTAATGCTAACTACGTGTCCACGTTGCATAGAAATCATATCGGGCAGGAATGCTTTGCACGTCTGAAATCAGAACGACTTCGAAATTTCTGTTTATATTTCTAAAAGTGTGCAATAAATAATTGAAGAACTTACCCAAAAATGGGAAATCGCATTAACTTGAAAAGTCTTCTCTATCAGGTGATCGGGATTGTCGAGTAATTTTTGAAAACTGACAAATCCGGCGTTGTTGATCAGTATGGTTACAGGACCCACGTCATCTTTCACTCGTCCAGCCGTTTCGTATACCTTCGTTCTATCGGTGACGTCACAGACATAGGAATAACATTCGCCTCCTCCGCTACTCTTCACTAATTGTTCAGTTTGGCGATTTCCGTTTTCGTTTATGTCCCAAATGACCACTTTACACCCTAACGATGCAAATTTTATAGCCAAACAACGTCCGAGACCGTCGCCTCCTCCCGTGATCAAAACTATTTCTTTGTCTAAATTTTTGTAGCAACATTTCTTGGGGAAGAAAATAAGAAGAATTTTGATGATTAGTTCAGAAATTTCTTTTAAAATTCCGAGTAAATGAAGACCTAATTTTATTAAACTGGACAAAACCATATTCAATAATAACACTTTTAATAAGAAAATTCTTCAATCTGGAATTTATGCATGGAATTTTATATATTTGTTATTGAGATTAATAATAATAATCTTGATTTCGCATCTACGTTGCTGAAGTTGTGCTTCTTCTTCAAGATAATTTCTGTTTAGAGGGAAAAAATAAGTATAAAATGTAATTATATTTTAAAATTTCACATAGGCCTATGAAAGAAACTCGCCTTTTTGACATTTGATCTTCTGAACATACAAGACCAACAATGTCACACAATGAAATCGACCTTTATTTTGAGGCTCTTGCCCCAAAAATTCTGAAAATAAAGATCGGCTTCGCCGTCTGACATTGTTGTTGTAGGTGTGAGAAGGACAAATGTGAAGATCTCGTGTTTCTTCCATGTGTGAATTTGAAATCAATTTCCCATTCGGGTTTACTTTTAATAATATATAATAAAAAGTTGTAATAAACTATAATCTGAAAATTATGTAAACAAAAAATCCAAAAAAATTATATAAATAACATTTGAGTATTCTATATTTTTAATACTTGTAGACATAATTCGCCCATGTAGGGATCACCAGTAAATCACCAGTTCCGATTTTAGAAAATTTTGTATTTTTAATTGGAAGTTTTTTGTGTATTTTTAAATGGACTTTTTAAAATATTTTGGCGGCTAGTAGCCTAGAAAGAAAGGTCGGTCGCCGAAAATGTATTGTCTTAAACGCAGAAAACAAATAAATGGTGATCCCTACATGGGCGAATTATGTCTACAAGTATTAAAAACTGAAAAGAACCATCGGACGAAACAAACTTATTCTATATTTAACAATTTATGAAGCAGTATTTCATGTTTATATTTCTGTGTATTGTCACAATGCTGACAGTATGAATGCACCATTCACATTCTAAAGGCTTTTTCATATTTATAGATTAAAAACAAGAAGCAAATATATGCATTCGCTTTAGTTTTATTCTCTTTACAGAATCCATTATTTTCTGATTGGATAAAAGCAATAAACACTGGCAGTTAGTCGAGGATTCGAAAGGGCTGACCATGTTAATAAGATGACTGACACGACTCTATTGTTAAAAGAAAAGCATGATGTACGTACAAAGGCAAGCCATTATTAATTTGAGGTGAAGACAATATATTTTAATTAAATGAAATTAAAAATATGGTTAAAAATTGCAGCTCAGCATTGTGACGATGTCACAATAAATAATTGCTGGTTGCACAATAAATCTACTATCTGCTGTGTATGTATCAATATATATACAAAAGCAAATTTCATGTATATGTTTACAATATATATGTTTTGCATCCACAGCACTAATTTGGCCACGTGACAATAGCAATCGCATACTTCTACGCGCCCTGGTCTGGATTTCTCGTTGGGCTCGGAAATTCTACAAGTGACGTCACGATGTCGTTTTCTCGACATGTTCCCAACGGTCAGGGAAAGTTTCCCTGCATCAGTTGTCCCTACACGGTTGTCGTATCTATACGTGTTCGTGCGCTAATGACACCATCATACCATTTTTAATGTCGCTTTCTCTCATAGATGGAATACGTTATGGTGAATTACAGTAATACATTAGTAGTAGTGGTTTGAGTAGCACTAATCACAAAATTAATTTATTGAGTAAATTGCAAATAAAAATTTGTTGAATGGAATTATTTCAGATCACAAAATTAATTTCAGATGTCAATTAAATTAAAATTGCAAATAAAAATTTGTTGAATGGAATTATTTCAGATCACAAAATTAATTTCAGATGTCAATTAAATTAAAATTGCAAATAAAAATTTGTTNTGTCTTAAACGCAGAAAACAAATAAATGGTGATCCCTACATGGGCGAATTATGTCTACAAGTATTAAAAACTGAAAAGAACCATCGGACGAAACAAACTTATTCTATATTTAACAATTTATGAAGCAGTATTTCATGTTTATATTTCTGTGTATTGTCACAATGCTGACAGTATGAATGCACCATTCACATTCTAAAGGCTTTTTCATATTTATAGATTAAAAACAAGAAGCAAATATATGCATTCGCTTTAGTTTTATTCTCTTTACAAAATCCATTATTTTCTGATTGGATAAAAGCAATAAACACTGGCAGTTAGTTGAGGATTCGAAGGGGCTGACCATGTTAATAAGATGACTGACACGACTCTATTGTTAAAAGAAAAGCATGATGTACGTACAAGGGCAAGCCATTATTAATTTGAGGTGAAGACAATATATTTTAATTAAATGAAATTAAAAATATGGTTAAAAATTGCAGCTCAGCATTGTGACGATGTCACAATAAATAATTGCTGGTTGCACAATAAATCTACTATCTGCTGTGTATGTATCAATATNAGCATTGTGACGATGTCACAGTAAATAATTGCTGGTTGCACAATAAATTTACTATCTACTGTGTATGTATCAATATATATACAGAAGCAAACATGTTTTGCATCCCACAGCACTAATTTGGCCACGTGACAATTGCAATTGCATACTTCTACGCGCCCTGGTCTGGCTTTCTCGTTGGGCTCGGAAATTCTAGAAGTGACGTCACGATGTCGTTTTCTCGACATGTTCCCAACGGTCAGGGAAAGTTTCCCTGCATCGATTGTCCCTACACGGTTGTCGTATCTATACGTGTTCGCGCGCTAATGACACCATCTTGCCATTTTTAATGTCGCTTTTTCTCATAGATGGAATACGTTATGGTGAATTAAAGTAAATACATTTTGTTAATATCGATAAATGCGTGCGTTTTTCTTAATAAAGTCGGTCTTAAACGAAGCAAATCGCCGGAAGTAAAAATTCATTCCTAAATTTTAAAAGTTTAAATCGAATTTTAAAATCGCAAGTAAACTTTTTTATACCAATCGATTCAGCGTGTCAAATTACATTTAGACATGTCTATCTCTATTCGTTAATATTAAGTCTAAGACCTTTTTAATTTCCCGGCTGTTATATATAACATAAGGAAAGTATGGCGATTGGTCAAAAAATGACCTCTCCTAATATTTTTAGGAGAAATGTCGAGAAATGTAAAAAAGTTCGGAGGTAATTCTTGTATGTATGGATGTTATACCCCGTTCGCACCAAGCATTTCGATCTAGATTGTGACTAAGGTCGGAGAGCGTTCCGTGTTGCGAACGCTCTCGACCGTTTCAATCTCGATCAGTGTTGCCACGCCAATTTGCTTGCCATCGGTAGATTCATTAGGCAATTTTCGGTAGATTTCGGTAATTTTTCGGTAAATCGACTTTTTGTGGCAGAAAGGAGGTTGCGCATAAACAATAACATTCTTTTTCGTCTTTTATTTTATTATCTATACTAATATAATAAAGAGGTAATGTTTGTATGTATGTATGTAAGTTTGGATGCAGCAGGTAATCTCCAAAACTACTCATCCGATTTCAAAAATTTTTTCACCAATATTTAGAATGGAACTTCAGGATGGACATAGGCTGTATATTATTCCTCCGTTAAACATGGGGGATGGACAGTTCTTTACGGTAAGCCTTACGGGGAAGGCTTACCGTAAAGAACTCTGCTTCTATTTATACTATTTTAGATGCGGTTTTTTGCATTTTTGATTGCATTTTAATAG